TCACCTCCTTCCGCTGGGCCACTGGCTACGACATGCCAGCCGTCTATGCCGGTGACGCCAAGCTCACCCAGATCTCCTCCACCATCAACGCCACCCACTACACCCTCATCTACCGATGCCAAAACTGCTTCCAATGGAACCATAACGGTGCTACTGGTAGCGTCAGCACCTCTGCCGGCTCCATGGTCCTCGGCTGGGCCCAGGCGTTCAGCAGCCCAACCAACCCAACCTGCCCAGCCAACATCGGTCTCGCACAACACGAGAACCAGAACATTCACGGGACCTCGCTGAACAGCGACATCGCTAACCCGTCGTACTCTGCCTGGGCTGCGCTGGCAACGAAGACCGTCACAGGCAACTGCGGTGGAGGAAGCACGTCCACGTCGGTTCCTACTGCGACATCAACTGCGGCCCCAGGTCCTACTGGTGTCCCCGTTCCTTCTCAGTCTTACGACTATATCGTGATCGGTGCTGGAGCTGGCGGTATTCCTTTGGCTGACAAGCTGAGTGAGGCCGGCAAGAGCGTGCTGCTCATCGAGAAGGGTCCTCCATCTTCCGGCAGATGGGGTGGCACTATGAAGCCTACTTGGCTCGCTGGCACCAACCTCACCCGCTTTGATGTGCCTGGACTTTGCAATGAGATCTGGGAGAACTCAGCTGGCATCGCCTGTCAAGACACCGACCAGATGGCAGGCTGTGTCCTGGGCGGTGGAACAGCCATCAACGCTGCGCTTTGGTGGAAGGTCGGTTTCATCCTTTTGCTCGTCGTTGCGTATTACTAACTCGTCTAGCCGTACTCTGTGGACTGGGACTACAACTTCCCCACTGGCTGGAAGTCATCAGACGTAGCTGCCGCCACATCGCGGGTATTCTCCCGCATCCCGGGGACCACCACTCCGTCTCAGGACGGCAAGGTCTACCTCACGGCTGGCCGCGATGTCATTTCGACCGGTCTCAAGTCTGGCGGATGGACTGAGCTCGACCTCAACGCAAACCCTAACTCCAAAAACCGCACTTTCGGCAAGACGCCGTACATGTACTCAGGGGGCGAGCGCGGTGGGCCGATGGCAACTTACCTCGTGTCCGCAAGCAAGCGCTCCAACTTCAAGCTGTGGATGAATACAGCCGTGAAGCGTGTCGTCCGTACTGGCGGCCACATCACTGGTGTTGAGGTTGAGCCATACCTCAGTGGGGGATACCAAGGCACCGTCAACGTAACCGCGGTTACTGGCCGAGTGATCCTGTCAGCCGGTACCTTTGGCAGTGCGAAACTGCTGTTACGCAGCGGGATCGGACCAAAGGATCAGCTTGACGTTGTCAAGAGCTCCACGGACGGACCAACCATGATCTCGAACAGCTCATGGATCACACTTCCTGTTGGCTACAACCTTGAAGACCACACCAATGTGAGTTGAGCGATGATGTCGAATTTTGATGGAGACTGACCGATGACAGACTGACCTGGTGGTTTCGCACCCCGCTGTGGAGTTTTACGACTTCTACGAGGCGTACGACGACCCCAACGTTACTGACAAGAACTTGTACCTCAACAAGAGGAGTGGTATCCTGGCTCAGTCAGCGCCCAACATTGGGCCTCTGTAGGTTGCCCAATGCGCATCTTCAGACTGCCACTGACGCGATGACAGCTTCTTCGAGGAACTCAAGGGTGCCGACGGCATCACTCGCCAGCTTCAGTATACTGCTCGCATGGAGGGCAGCCTGGGTGCTCCTAACGGAAGTAAGTCCCCTCAACCTGTTCACTCACTTGGTGTCATAGCTGACCCTGCACGCAGAGTCCATCACCATCAGCCAGTATCTCGGTCGCGGTGCAACTTCCCGTGGCAGAATGACAATCCAGGGCAATCTTGGTACTGTCGTCTCTACCGTGCCCTACCTTCGCGACCAAAACGACGTCGAGGCCGTCATTAAGGGCATTGAAAACCTTCAAGCTTCCCTCAAGAATGTCGCCAACCTGACCTGGCTGTTCCCCGAGCCGGGAACGACGGCGAGGAACTACGTCAACAACATGCTGGTATCGTACTCCAACCGCCGTGCGAACCACTGGATCGGTAAGCTTTCTCATAGTGCCTTCAATGCGAATGAGTGTTGACAATGAAAACAATCGTGTAGGCACCAACAAGCTTGGCACCGGCGATGGCCGCAACGGCGGTGATGCCGTCGTTGACCTCAACACCAAGGTCTGGGGCACGGACAATCTCTTCGTCGCAGATGCGTCCATCTTCCCAGGCATGGTGACAACCAACCCCTCGTCCTACATCGTCGTGGCAGCGGAGCATGCTGCTGCGAAAATCCTCGCCCTTGCGACGGCCAAGGCTGGCGTGCTGTACGACCAGTGCGGTGGTTCGACATGGAATGGGAGCTTCCAGTGCGCCACGGGCTTGAAGTGCACTTTCAAGGACTCCTACTATTCTCAGGTACGTCGCCTTTCTTGGATCTTCTCAATCCCCCCAATGATGAGAACGAGGGGGAATATGGCCATTTTACAGGACATTGCTGACACAATCGACAGTGCTTGTAACTTTATCAGCGCTGAGGCATGCGAGTCAGGCAAATCGCACGTGGGCTTCCTCTATCTTTTCATGTACATACTTTCTTCATCTTCCTCGTACATATTTAAAACGAACTTCTGGGAACATATCTCGTATATATATCCACCCACCACAAGCTTACCCCGACTTGTCCGTTTCTGTGACCATCCCAATGACATAGCTCCCTCCCTCGGCCCGTCTTCATCAAACATGCGCACCAATGATGTGCATCCTGAGCTGCGCGAACCCCACACAAGCACAGCGCACCTGACGTCGCATCTGGCGAAAGATCTCCCGGCACCTGGGAATTCCCCAGTTTCCCCTCGCGCCGCCCCTCTTCATAAGGTTGGAACCATGCCTGCGTTTCCCTGTTCTGGGTGATCTGTGCTGTCAAACAGGTGGCCCGGTGCCTGTCAGGTACCGAGCGAAACCTCGGAGGGGGCCGGATGTGCGGCCTTGTTTTGCTGCTTTGCCTTGTTTACCGCTACCTTCCATTTTCTCGATGATGTCTTTTGCAGAAATGGGGTTCTGCTCCGGGGGACTGACACACTCAAGTCATTTTATCCTGCCCAAATGGACCCTCGTGACTGACTAGCCAAGCAAATTAGAGAAGGCGGCTGCAACCTCACAAACTGCCTGCACCCCGGCTCCGAGGCCCCCGCCACGTGTGAGATGAGCGAACAGCAGTTCTTCCATCACGGGAAAATCGAACACCTAGCGGCTGGGCATCCACTCGAAGCGTATGAATGGTGGTCCATTTTACCCTCGGCGGAGGTCTCCAACCTGAACCTTCCCACCTTCCACTGCCATGCGTTCCAATCCGTGGCTCCCTCCGAGTACGACGCTAATCGCGTTGCAATGTCGCGATACCCGCCCACCAGCACGCCTCGGCGGAGTAGTCAAGCCTCCATGACGACGTGTGCAGGCTTGACAACTTGATATCCCCAGAGTTGCGGGGTCGTTCCCGCCGTGCTCATAAGCACTCATCTTCGCTCCCATCCCGTTGAATCCTCCTTTCCTTTTCTCTCCAGCGTCCTCGTGATACCCTCAGTTGCCCACCAAGATGCCCTCTCTCAAAGCCCTCATCGGCGCTGGCTTGGCCGCAACCGTGGCACTGGCCTCCCCGATCCAGTCCCTTGACTTCAGCGGCCTCGCCCCCCGCGCGGATCCCAGTCTGACCGGATACCTCGGCGCGTTCTTCCTCGGCGCCGACCCGTATGTCTACTTGTACCTCAGTAACGGCAACAACGCCGTCTCCTTCCGCGCGCTCAACTCTGGCTCGCCGGTGATCAAGCCCACCAAGGGCACGGGGGGTGTCCGCGACCCTGCGATTGTGGAGGGCGGCGGCGCGGAGAAGGGGAAGAAGTGGTATATTGTGGGGACGGATTTAGACATTGGCAAGGTATGTTGGATTTCTTGATGTCGTCTGATGGTGTTAATCCAATGTTGTGCCGGTCTCACATAAAAGTTCAGACGACATGGGACGCCGCCCAACGACAGGGCTCCAAGGGCATCTTCGTCTGGGAGTCTACCGACCTTGTGAACTGGAGCGGCGAGCGCCTTGTCGTCGTCGAGAACTCCAGCGCCGGCATGGTCTGGGCCCCGGAGGCCATCTGGGATCCTAGCAAGGGCCAGTACCTCGTGCATTGGGCCTCCAAATTCGTAAGTCCGCCTTCATGACTTTAATCTTCACCCGGTTGGGCCAGAAACTTACCCTGTACCGCGCAGTACCCCTCCTCAGACCCAAACCACACCGGCGCCCCCGGCCCCATCGTGATCCGCTACGCCTACACCTCCGACTTCAAGACCTTCTCCGCGCCCGCGACCTACATCGACAAATCCCCCACCAACATCATCGACCTCAATATCCTGCCGACGGGCACCGACGGCAAGTCCTTCGTGCGCTTCCTCAAGGACGAGTCGCTCAAGACGGTCTTCGTCGAGGTCTCGACCACGGGGCTGTTCGGCACGTGGACGCGCCCGGGCGGGTCGTCCGCGATTATCCAGAGCGGCGTCGAAGGCCCGGCGAGCTACTGGGACAACCAGGTCGCGGGGAAGGCGCACGTGCTGCTGGATTTCTACGGCGAGGACGGGTACAGACCGTATGAGACGGGGAATGTGGCGAGTAATAGCGGGTGGAGCGCGAGTTCGCGGACGGGGTTCCCGAGTGGGTTGAGGCATGGGAGTGTGTTGCCTGTGAATCAGACTTTGTATAATGCGCTGGGTGCGCGTTGGGGATAGGTTATCTTGAGAAATCCATGACGTGTTTAACGAATGCTTCGTGCTAAGCAAAAGCAGGCGGCAGTTTTGAATTAGTGATACGCCGAAATAAAGAGAGCTACCCTAAGACCAATTAGATGATATCTCCATCTTATGGCATTGATCTGACAATGACTTGTCGAACACGTCAGATTCGAGCAAGCGAACGGGGTGCAGCGAAGTGTTCTTCGCTTATTTGCGTTGGTCACAGAACGTAGGAAGTAATCGAGCTTCGTTGGGATCAGAGCATGCTTGAGCCATCGAGAGTAGGTATTGTAGCTTCGTCAGCTCCAGTGACTCTTTCGCAATCTCGACTGACTGCTTTGAATAGACCACGGCAATGAGACCAAACACGAAGCTGATAACCGCCAGGAAGGCCACAAATCCAGCGATCCAGAAGTTTGCTGACTCGATGAGATTTGGTCGGTCTCGACGGGGAAGAAATTGTCGAAAGCCCACAGGTGGCTCATCGAGGATTCGGATGAGTTGCTGCATCTGCTCTCCCCAGTGTTCATAGTCACTCAAATTCGACTTTAGGGTCCTCCTACAGAGGATCAAGTTGTGGAATGTTTGCCTTTGTTTGTCGAGGAAGGATTTGGTTCCAGCGTCGTGAAGTGGAAACAGTAGATTCAATGTGTCAAGTGCCTCGTCTATGACCGTTGGAGGTAGAAAGCATTGGCTTTCAATGCCAGAATGGGCGGACAACCAGATCTTGTGTTGGAAGATCGAGATCACTCTGTGCTCGGGACTGATATTTAGGTGCTGGTGTAGACAGCTTGTCCAGTTGACGTTGTATCCGTGATGCATCACAAGATAACTGATGGTCAGATGTGGGGGGATCACGCCAGTACAATGTGCGCTGTTTTGATCCACCGAGAAGCCAGCGGCCAGAATATCGTTCAGTGCCGTATGAGTCTGCCAGAATGGAAGCGAAATGTCCGCTGGTCTTGAGATCTCGGATGTTCGAATTTGTGTCATTGACACAAGAGAGGAGGCAAGTCGCATGAGTTCCTTGACTTGTCTATCTGAATCAATGAAAGCAGGCAGCTCGAGTGCTAGATGACTGATAACGTCTGTCATGGGTTGAAAGGCCGAGGAACGAACATGCGCCACTAATTCGGCAACTCTCTCCTCTGCTCGTGTAGCAGGGTCAGAATGTTCAATCAGCTTCAACAGCTTCAAAGCATTTGTGCTGCGAGCGATCTCATATCTAACGTGTGTTGCTAGCATTCGATAATGAGATGTAGTGTAAATTTCTCTCGACAGGGCGGGCCAGATGAGGTGGCAAATCTCTGCGTCTCCTCGGATGTGAGTACCAGCTGCGCGATGTCCCAAAAGATGGTTCATTCTAATCGCAGATTTCATTCCAGCATAATGAGAGCCTTAAAAGAGTCTTTGTTATTATGAGGGCGTGACGATGAAGAGTAGGTCTGAAAGTGTAGCTTCGGAGTTGAGTGAGGTTACCATGGGTGGGGGAGTCGGGGGAGTTGGAGAACACGAGTAGGCATGTCCAGCCCATGAATCTGCCCATGGCGCAGCCTGCAGGGCCAAGAAGAGGCGAAAGGATGCCTTACGTACTATCTGCCATTTTTCCTCTTGATTGTTCTTCCGGTGGCGATGTCATCACATCCCTCCACTTCTATCTCAAGTTCTTGGTTCTTCATTCTTCATTTTTCATTCCTCCCTCATCCAGTTCGGCGGGGCTTCACATCAATGGGTGTAACGTCAATGGCGACCCGAAATCAAACTCAAACGAGTTCGACCGACTTCTCGCCGCTGTGCGAGGGGAATGGAACTTCTACTGCTTTGGACATGTTCAAGGCTGTCTGCCGATGGTTCGGAATTCAGAACGATCCGGGAAAGCTTCGGCCTGACCCAGCACATGAGGTTCAGACTCTGCCGAACGCCCAGGTAGTAATTTCAAGATCGGACGAGGGACCTGTCGTTGACGCCTCTGTCGTACCATTTCCTTCTAAGCCTAATCAGCCTCGGCCACTCGCCCCAAATTCGATGTCTTCGGGTTCACATATCCTGCCACGGCATACAGAACACGAGCGTCCAGGTGTATCCAAAGCCGGCTCAACTCAACAACAACTCTCACACGACATACGTCCCACAGCCAATCCTTCGATTCCTGCGTTCAACACTCTTATCCACGCCCCCCGACAGGATTTTGGTGATTTTGGCGTGATTGCCTCCACTACAAATCCTTTTGTCTGGAAGTTTCCGAACACCAAGGTCTGGATTGGTTCTGAGACTCTGTTTCCAATTCCTGAAGAAGTCCAGACGTTATGGGCACGCATCAAAGGAGGTCTTTTAGTCACTCTCGAAGCGGTTGAAGGAGAGATGATGAGGGAGCAATCCCAAGAAGCAAGTCTTAGAAAGAGACACGTTCAAAGGAGAAGATTCATGACCGAGCTGCGCATGTCTGGCTGCTGTCAAAAACATGAGACTGGCAAAGATCGCAAGGTCACCCTTTATCCTTGTGTTTGGATTCTATGTGGGAGCAAATGGTGTCGCGACAAGATCCGTAAAGTAACCGAAAGGCTGGAGCTTCCTCAGAATCTCTCCAGCCAGCGTATCGAAGTCCACGAGGGCGGTCCCACATTTAATGCCTCTGAAGTCAACATTCCTCGTTCGCAGCTTGACAATGACCGGGCACTGGTTTCAGGCGTTGCTCATTCTGGAGGCACGATTCTCCATCACATTGAAGTTGCCCCAAAGCAGGAGTGCCGTTCAATTTGTGGCATGCTGTGTTGCACTACATTCGTCAAAGATGGAAACGTCATCGATCAGCATGTTTCACGCATTGGGGGCGTGCTCACGGAATCATTCTTCGGCCTTGATTACAAGATCTGGCCACTTGCTTTGACAACGGCACATGGAATCTTTGATCTCCTTCTTTCCGAGGCCAGCGACGACAGCGAGCTGACATCTGGCTCAGGGAAGAGCAAGTACCTCCAACCATCGGCATCAGGTAGCTACTCTTCCGACTCTGAGTCGGTCTATGACACGGATGAAGAAAGTAGCAGGTCCGAAGCAGAGATTGAGATACTAGGTAACAGGAACGCATCGAGCGTGACGAAATGGACACCGCTTGAAGATGTTGTCGGTATCAACTTCATGGGAGAACGTCTCTCGTCTGAACAGGTTTTTGACAGGGGTACACCTGCCGACTATACGATCCTAAGGTCAGACACGTTGAACAGTTGCCGGAATCTCATCTCATCGGATCCAAGTGTTGAAGTCACGACATTCGTGCTCAACTCTAATCTCACACCCGGGCCAGTATCGTTGATTATCGGCATCGACGAAGTCAGTGAGGCAAGTTTGCTTCCAGACATTGTAAAAATGCCATGGCGTCAAAAAGCACTATTAGTGAGAAAGCTTTATACATCGGCACCACTAGGTTTGTGATCCTTGATATATCCCGCTTTGAACGTCCGTATCAATGGTGTCTAACTTGTTGATAGCCCCGGGAACCTCGGGGATGTGGGTTTGCAGAGGCTCTGCCTTCTGCGGTATGATTGTTGCTATCTACCCCGGAGAACCTCTTGCTCTTTTCATGACTGCAGAAGACCTTCTCCAAGACATGGGCACTTCCTTTCCCGTGTCAAGACAGCCGTCGGTTTTGAACCTGCTCCCAAGCCATACTTCTGACGAACCTGAGGCAAGCGACGCGATACGTAACGATCTCGATCGTGAATCGACACTAGATGAGACTCTTCCAAGGGGAGAAGGTAGCGGTTCCTTCAAGCGCCAAGAAAGCTCGAGAACAGGCGCTAAAAGGGGCTCTAAATCGGGTTCTAAATCGAGCTCCAAAACGAGCTCTAAGAGATACGAGTTTCAGTGGGTTTGGACCTGTGTAAGTACCGACTCGCAGTCCTCTATGAAGGTTGATCGAAACCCCACTAACCGTAATGAATATCATAGTGTCAATGTGGTGACAGTGGCATGTCCTGTCACCATACACCGGGGTGTCCATCTTGCAATGTCTTTCGCTGTGCGAATTGTCCCCTTCAACAAGTTAAAGTCAGAGTGGCTTGACGGAACCTTGTGGAGACATTGAAGAAAGACAAAAAGGCAGGAGTAGACAGAAATTACATGTTTGGAGGTATAAACAGCAACCTCGTCACGCGAAGGGCCGATGGCACGGGGCTTTTGTTGTACAGTTGATAGCAAACATGCGACAGGCATAACCTGCACATGGAAATAGCTTACACGTTCTGTTATCATAATCATTCTGGCTGGTGGAGACCTTCGTCAAAGCTTTTGAAACCAGGGTACACTACACCCACACGATGACCTTTGTAATACAAAGCAACACCCTCAGGGGAGTGCCACCATTCCAAGATGCCAGATTGAGTGACCTGAAGCCAGTGAGCCGTTGGTTGATCTTCTGGTGCCTCACATGTCACCACCGCAACATATGCATAGGGATCATTCTTCTCGGTCTGTTTGACACAGAGATATAAACTATCCGTCTCTCCAACCGATATCCTCTCTAGAATCATGTCGTGACGGAAAAAGCCGACACATTCGCGGTGGCCGTCTGCATAGCGAAGAAGCATTCCTAAGATTTCTCGATGCGAGCCAGTCCCAAAGCCACAAGTTTGAACCTCGGTCAAGTCCAGCATAGAGCATGAGGAGTAAAAGCGAAGTGTGTTTGGGATAGTTCGTGGAAAGTTCGAGATAGAAACCACGGGAGCAGGTAGATTCTCTTGGCTGAGCTCTGCCGGATGGCCGCTGGTCTGGTGAACACTAACGAAATCGACAAAGCTTCGGCCGAAGAAGCCGTCACGATCATTGTAATATAGTCGACACGGGTCATGTGAGAGTTTCCAAACGCGTTTATATTTCCCGTCGTTTATTCCGTAGACACCGAAGAAGACAGTCCGGTCACGATTGGTTGTGAACTAGAATGTACTGGTCAGTCTTAGTGGTAAAGAAAGGGCATTCCCCTCACAGTCATTCCAGTAACGTCCTGTCTCGTCGCAGACGGCGGCGTGGCTAGCCTGCAAATATCGGTGAGATACTCCCCTTCATTCATAGGCATAAACTGCCAGTAGCAGTTCGTGGGACAGGCTTTCTCGTACACGCTTTGGACGTCTGCTTCACCTTTTTTGTGGGAAACGACCCCAGCGATTGCGCGTCCCTTGAGCGCCACCGAGTATCCGACCGTATCAGGTGCGTTGCAATCGAAGAAGTCCATGCGAAGCCCATCTGGAAGATCACGGGGTTGTTCCAATGTCGCTAGTTTGACGACGAGTGGAGGTGATGACAGAGGGGTCGGCCAGCCGACCACAGCCGAGTCTAGCATTTGGCTGCTCTCGATGCTTCTCACTTTTAAACCCTGTGATCGGTTAATATGTGACTGAAGAGTTCACAGTGCGTACGAACATCGCCGTTGATGGTGATAGCAGAGGGCATAACTCCCTGAGAAATGTTTTTCCACCAGGCGCCGGGTACGCCAAGTTGGTTGCGACACCATTCCTCCAGATTTTTTGTTGAAACAAAAGCCAGTCGACGAATTCCGACATGATTCTCTGCGACGAAAATATTCATGTCCTTCTCTCTTGAGTCTCGAGTCGGTAGTAGAAGGCAGCATCCACTGCCACTTCTTGACTCTGGTGTGTTTTGCAGTCTCTTTATGTAGTATCGACCATCGATCTTTAGGTAGGATGCGAACACAGATTGATTCAAGTCAAGGACAGAATCGCCAACTTTATCAGCTGTACGCACCTGACACTCCGACATATGGAGAGCGCACCACCGGACTAGATGCCGGGCAACAATCAACCACAACTCGTATGGAAGACTTTGGGTCCCAAAGTCCATCTGCTCCAACTTGCAAGCAAGAATCTGCCGGTTGAATTCAGCCCGTCGCCGTTCCTCGTCGGGAAAAGGGGTGAAGGAGAACTCAGTTGCTGCCAGGAATATCGGCGTAATTGAGTACAAGCGATTACGATAGCAATCAACATGATAGCACACGGTCGCCTGTTCACGAACCCTACACTTCTTGAGGAAGCAAGTGTGAAATTTGATATGAAGCCCTCGGTCCCAGAAGTCTCCGAAGTGTGGCAGTTTGAACTCGGTAGCGAAGCCTTCCTCGACAGCTAGGTAAGTATTTCGCCATTAGCATTCGAGCTCAGTACAGCAGCTAGCCACGTACCTGCTATAATCACGTCGCCTTTGTGCACAGGGAACTGGCAAAGTCTGCAGCGGGCCTGGGTAAAACAGAAGTAGGACGCGTTGAATTCGTTTGCCATGGTTGAAAACTCATGTGGATCACAATCACTCCGTCGTTGAGAAGTTGGTGGATATATAACTGGGCGCGGGGAGAAGACATGAAAGCATGTGTGCCCAATAATTAGGCGTGAGCTGTACCTGGCATGTTGGATGCTGACCTCAGCCACCCCATTCTCTGATCCATGGATAGATCCTGCATGGCACCAACACACCGCTTTACCCATTATACAAAGGCTTCACTCGTGGCCAATCATAACTCGAATCCAGCCGTACTTGGACAGAATTACTCGGAGCATGTCTCGGTTTCAAACGCCAGACTCTTGCCATACAAAACTATCATGTCAGGTACCCATTGATGGCAATGAGAAAAGCAAATGAGACTCGGGAGCATAATCATGTCATCAAGAGAGCTTGTCATTCAACTTCTATGAGGTTCGGCTCTTAGATGGGACTAGCCGATCGCAATGGAAACATTCGAACGGGAGGCAAAATTTAGAAAATATGCCGATACTATGAGTAATAATCATACCCCATGATTTTCTCGTCTAGAGCTTCAGCCTAGTCGCCTCGGACTTGACAATAGTAGGCACTTCATCTTGGAGACTCTTTTCCTGTGGCTTCCATCCAAGAACCTTCTTAGCTCGGATGGCGGCAGCTCGAGAGTTCAGGCCCCAGCTCGCTGCCTCAAATCCAGCAGATGACTTAACTGCCTCGTCGTAAGACAGACCCCGCACCTCCGGCTCTCCTCCCTTGATGAAACCCTGCTTGTGGGCTTCCTTTCCGACTAGCGTTGCCAGATCACCCCAGACGTGCTCGCCATTCTCAGTGAAGAAGTAACCGTGTGCTCCCCAAATCTCCTTGTCATCCTTGCGAGATGGATCGAGCGCGACCTCAACCAGCAACTCGAACACTACGCTTAGGTCGTGGACGTGGACGTTGTTCCACCGCGCAAGTCCCTTGCCGATGCGGGGGCTGTATCCCTCTTTGAGCACGAAAGTAGCCAGTTCGTACACCTGACGACCACGCCCCGACACTGGGCCACGCCCCTCGCCGTAAATAGTGGGCGGGCAGACAATGGCAGTCTTGACGGAGTCGGCGTGTTTGATGCCGGTGTTGAGGACGATCTCGTCCACATTGCGGTGGAAAGCGGCGGCTGGCAGGTTTACGACCTCATCGACACCATCATAGTCGTTAAAGACCTTGTCGTCATGCTCTCCATACGTCTTCTTGACTTCGGAGTCGAAATAGGTGAGGATACCCGTGCCGCCCGTGTGCAGCCAGAATCCAGGCCTGGATGGCGAGTGACCAGACACAAGGCCTTTTGCGATAGCCTTCGCCGCGCCTGAGTGATCCGACGAATCGGCAGTGTCTGGGATTGGATTAGTGGGTTGCTGGCTAGGATCTCGGAACAAGGTGAAACTCACGGATTACGATGTCAGCCCATGCTGCCTCACGCTCCAGAATCTCGGAATCATCAAGTCCCCCGATGACAATTCTGGCTTTCGGAAACTTTTCTTGCACCTTCTTTGCTTTTTCTTCAGTCCGAATAAGAAGTGCATACTCAAAGTCTGAGTGCTTCTGGTACAGCTGGTAGAGGGCGTCGCCGCCGATGTAGCCCGTGGCTCCCGTGAGGAAAATTTTGGCTGGCATTGTTGTTGGTGGTTTGGTGTTGGAAAATGCTGGGTTGAACGTTCCGTCTCGTATCCCTAAGATGTTCAAAATGGTGATATAGCTGGCGTCGTTTGCGTGTGAGTTACGTAGCCGTCTTCTATGACGTCTGTATGGATTTCTAATCGTGAGTAAAGCGCCCTCCGGATATTTGTTTAGCCACTTAGCTGCACAGAAGCTACCATGTCCCCTCATCCCCACCCAAGCCGTCAATATTCATTGGGTTTTCCTTTCACCATGAGCGTTTCTCGAACGATCGCTCGTCGATTTAAGCTTAATTCTGTTGAAACTCATATTGGCTGACTCTCAAGGGGAGTGTGTGACAGACTTCAAGCTTCTCACAACAGCGGGGTTCTTGCTGTTGCCTTCATTACCCCTCATTTGAATTTTGTGGTGATCGCACGCATGGCACGGCGCCCCACATTTGTCAATCTAGCAATGGATGGCATTTGTAAGTTTCCATTGGGAGACTTGAGTTTGAATTAACGATTGACGAGGGCATTCTCCGGAAAGATCAGGATTTGCGTTGAATTGATGGAAAGCTAGTCTCCGAGGATATCTTGGTTAAGCTTCATCGAGGATGCCTCTCCAGGCTTGCAAACCTGGCTGCTCATGAGGAGTACATCAAGATGTGGTTGCTGGCTTTCGCAGTCCCCTGACTGGCAGATTCCTGCACCGCAGAAATCATCGTATCTTCCACAGCGACCGTAGATGCTGCAACACGTTCCTTGTTTGCCAGCGCACTTGCGATTCCCATTTGCATACCCACAGGTTCCATCTGTGGTGTACACTTTATGGCCCCAGCAGATGCCTTCCCAGCAAGTACCAGGCGCACAGTCAATGCTGAATATTGTGTAAATCCATTAGCTACGGCAAATCTTGACGAAATGCTTTGATCGCTTGTAATTGGAGCAGCAGGACGAGTCACTCACTCTCTCTCGCCGCATCTCCAAGTCTCCGAGTTGCAGCATTGCCCGTTTGTACCAACGCAGGTGACGCCCGGACGCGACGGGCCGCAAATCCCGTCCCACGCTCTTTCGGGTTCGATAACTGCGATAGAATCGTTGAGCATTGTCGTAGTTCGTGAATACATATAATATATGTTTACTCACATCCAGCAGTGCAGTACGTTGCACATGGGAGTATGTGCTTGCAGTCGCGGTCCATAGACGGATTCAAGAAAAGAAACTTCTCAAGTGAGATTCCGAAGTCGTCTGCAAGCTCCTGGCATGTTTCAGGGCCGACTTTCTCGTATGTGTCACCCAAAGAGCGACAGTTGATCTCCCCGGGCTGGGTATCACCTCCTCTGATACCGTGAATCGTCGTGTGAGTTGGGCATGGCTTGGAGATTGTAACGGCAGGTTGGCCAAGGGTTGTTGGATTAGCCCATGTATGCGGTTTGCATTTCCCGGTGCTCGCGAGCAAAGAAGGTATGGGGGTAATCCCGTGCACCAGTGTCGCAATAAACGTGACAATAGTCCCGGTGAATAAGAAAACAGGGCCAACCTTTGGATAAATCATTTTCGGACAAGAAGACGCAGATGTTTGTTTTATCTAATCGTACAATTACGTGTAGAGGTCGGCATCTTATACTGCAAATTAGCTTAGTGAAGTGATCTAGCTTTGCCGCAAAAACAGGGGCGCCCGAAGCAAATAGATATCTCCAGTCGTCATGGCAACATTAGGCAGCAGTCTCTGGATACATGCGAGAGAAAGACTGGTAGAGTAGAAAGAAACCGTGAAACGTCGATACGTTTATGTCCGACCCAACAGAATCGATTGTCCCCGTTAGAAGGAAAACTGTTGTAACGCAGTACAATAGCAGGAGCCCATAGAGAGAAAATTGCTGACATTGATGCGAAGGTGGGTTGGGTTATGGAACATGTAATTGGTCGTTGGAAGTTGTGCAGATTGCCGCGCTGGCCGACGTAAAGACCGAATCATGCCAGGCGCCAACAGCATCTTGTGGAAACCCCGCTTCGTCAGTTTGCGGTTGGAAAGTTTCATCGACCTCAAGCTTCCTCTCCCGGTATCCCCCTGAAAGTCCAACTTGATTTGAAACGCAGCTATCAACCTAATGATCTTTGCCACCATACATTCCTTCAATTCAAGGACAGCCGCACCTGACGCATCTGGTCCTTGGTGACTGAGCGTCCAGCTATGAGACTGATTGATACGGAAACGATGGATATCGTTGAGCGCTTTGGCGCATCCATCGAGCCTTATGTTATTCTCTCGCATACTTGGGAGGATGAAGAAGTCACTTTTTATGGTTGGGACAAGCCTAGTATAAGGAACGAGATGAAGGGTTTTCAGAAAATCAGACAAACATGCGAGCTCGGTGCTGCTGACGGTTACCGGTACGCCTGGGTTGACACCTGCTGCATCGACAAGACCAACAGTACGGAACTTTCCGAGGCCATCAACTCGATGTACAAATGGTACGAAGATGCCGCCGTCTGTTATGTCTATCTTTCGGATCTTCGCGATGGCGCCGGCGACGAGGCATTAAAAGAACAGCGCTGGTTCAAACGCGGCTGGACACTGCAGGAGCTGATAGCCCCGCGAGAAGTCCAATTCTTTTCTCAAAACTGGCTACGCATTGGAGAGAAAGCTGGCATGGCGAAGTTGCTTTCCGAAATAACATCCATCAACCAGGACATTCTATCCATGTCTCAGGATCTGAACGACTTCAGTGTGGCTGAGAGAATGTCATGGGCATCTGGGAGAGAGACGACCAGACAGGAGGACTTAGCATACTGCTTACTTGGAATGTTTGGAGTCAACATGCCAATGCTGTACGGAGAGGGGAAGAAAGCCTTTCTGCGACTTCAACAAGAAATCATCAAAACCACGAACGACCTATCCATATTTGCGTGGGAGTATGTCCCCGTTGTCCGCCGCACATGGCAAGATCACAATAATATTACTTGCGGCATATTTGCGGAGTCCCCGAGCGAGTTCGCCATAAGAGACCCCCTCGTCGGATCAAAGCTCAAAATCACAGCTTTGAAGCGGCAGACAGAGGGCGATGTTACCGTCACGAATGCCGGCATCAAAATAACATGCAGGCTTCAGCTGGTGTGGACGCGACGTAAGGGAAATTACTCATATGTTCTTCCTGTTGCTCGCACTCACGGGCAATCTACCAGCATTCGGAACATGTTCTTTGACGATGACTTGGGCGTCATGCTGAAAAAGGTTGATTCAGGTCTATTCGTCAGACAAAACCCCTGTCACTCGTCAGAATGAACAAGCGAACCAAGCGTCTAGACGTCGATCGATACTGCCCCAACGCCTACATTCTCAATGGTCTTTCCATGTGGAGCCCTCTGGATCGCTACAGAGAACTACGATTTTACTGGCCGCCGGGAGTCAGGGTTATCCGATGTTGGCCTTGGGCTGACTGGGACGATGAGACTGGAGTATTCATGACTGGGCGCGATGGTCCACGTGGATCCATGCTCATAGAAGTGAAGGTCGAGGACCCCATTGATAACATTCCGGCTCAAATCATGGAGTTCATGTTTGTGTTCTTCGGTCCCCTTGACGAAGACTACCTCACGTACACTCTTGTCGAGTACGGTCCTTATCAGATGTCTCTAGATATCATCAATTTGAGGCTCCATGGCAGAGACATGAGCCATCAAGCAATGTTTCACGCTTTGAGGAGGTCGCCAATTCCCAGGCAACATTCTGCCTTCGCCCTTATTCCAAGGACTGAGTATGGCGTCCGTCTCTCAGTACAGGCAGTGGAAACCAACCCTCCGAAGTGGGAGTTTTTGATGCTCGTAGATAGCTTCGATCACATATCTGAGGTTGACATTCTGCCTTGGTCAGACACACCGCTGCATGTCTAGAGATGGAAAGTTAAAATACAGTTAGACGAAAAGCATATCTACAACAAACCTTTCAGGTGGAAGAAAGGTCTCAATCAAGCAACACTGACCGTGACTACACGTCAAGACACTCACCGTCAAGATTGCCTTTTTTCTTCTGCCCATATCTCCCTTATTCTTAGGTTCCTGGGTTTCGTCCTGCAATCGAGCAGTAAGGGAATGCAGTTGGGCACAGTCAAGGCCATGACCTCACGTTGTGGACTACCAGCCGATACGACTTACCAAATCGGGCTCAGAAGGATTTCGAGGCATTCCTTCATGCCGCCTAAGCTTCCAACGGTAGCGACCGTTGGAAATCACATTGAGCTTTGTCTGTCAAAGTAGCATACGGGTATCTTCTTGTGGGTCGTCATGGAACGTGGACCTAACCTTAACTTAGTTCTTACTTGAATCTGAATACGTCATCATCCACAGCCATAAGCCCTATGAGGCATTCTTACCCAAACCGTGACAAGGCGAGTTGGGACAATTGCGAATTTCGGCCCGACGTTACATAAGCTGCGTGCACAGCTGGGGGGGATAATTGATACATATGTCTGACATGGTCCCCAAACATTCTCCACCAGTTTCGGCCGTACTGCTTTTTCATTACACTTCCATTCGGCAACGGAGAGCAATCCATAAGCATGTCTCCAGCCTCAACTCCGCAGCTAATCTTCGGCACTGCGAGCTTTGGTGACAAATTTACCAATGCCGAGCAGGTGCAGTCGTGTCTGGATCTCCTGAAAGAACGCCATGTCCATGTGCTGGATACGGCAGGTCGGTACCCGGCCGAGGCTCAGGGTAGATCGGAGGAATTGATTGGGGAAACCAAGGCTACTCAGCAAGGCTTTCAGGTGGACACCAAGATTCTTGCAATGTCGGCTGATCATAGGGGGGAGCTGTCGAGACAAAATATTAAACAGAGTGTCAGCGACAGCCTTCGGCGGTTGAATATTCCAAAGGTATGAAAACCCGAACTTTCGATGCTATTAGCTGCGTTTTAGAGTCAAGAGTCTAAAATCGATAGCAGATCAATACTCTCCATATTCATTTCCCTGATTCGCAAACACCCATCGAAGAACAGGCCTCAGCTCTTGATGAACTTCACAAACAGGGAAAGTTCGCTCAGGTAAGTTACATTACTATCTATGGGCCTCAATATCAAGCTCAATTTCCAAATTTGGGCTCAGCTGACAATCCGCCTCCTAAATGTAGCTCGGAGTTTCCAACTTCACTGCCTGTCAATTGACTGCCTTCATCGAGGTGTGCGATAAGCATGGATTTGTAAAACCTACAGTCTACCAAGGCGAGTACTCGCTTATCAGCCGAGGCATGGAAAAGCATTTGCTTCCCATTCTTCGTGAGCATAGCATCGTCTTCAACGCTTTCAGAGTCATTGCTGCGGGATTTCTCTCCGGAAGCCTTACATACGGCTCTACGGAAGGAACGCGATTCAGTGGCGATGGCCGCATTGCCAAGTACATGTCAGCCTTGTGGGATAAAGAGTCGCTACATAATGCCCAGCGGAAGCTGAATGCCGCTATCAAAGACGTTGGGATCACGTCTATCGAAGCGGCTTTGCGGTGGGCCTATTATCATTCGGCACTTGGGCAAGGTGACGGCATCATCTTGGGGGCCAGCAAGGAATCTCAAATTGAGAGGTATGCTTCGATATTGCAGATCCGGAGGCTGTTGTCATCTAATTCTGACTTTGGCAATAGTAACATCAAGGCAATTGGAAACGGCCCACTCCCAGACACCATTGTTGCTGCTATCGAGGCCCTTTGGGAAGATCTCCGAGGTGAAAGAGAAGACAGCTACATTAACTAGGACAAATGGGCACCGAATGAGAAATTGAGTACTATGTTCATGAGAAAAGTTTCTGACATACCAATGACAAACGATTGAACAAATCGCTGTCCTACCGTTGCTCTACCACGCCGCCTCTCGAGCTAAAATGTTTAGAAAGCAAAGCATCTAAGCATGCGGATGTTGATATATGTTTCGGGATCAAATACAACAGTCCTCGGCAATTCAATGGGAGGGGACTGTTAGTATTTTATCTACACATCAATGAGGTAACGCCACCTACCTCAAAATGGCATAATCCCATCGAGTACTTTGGCAACAGCCCAGTAATGCAGAAGTAAGTGGGGAGCAAGTTCGCACCTCAGCCGGGTAAATGGATGGTGAGACACGCATACACGAGCTGACGTGCAGGGGTAGTCAACATGCATGGTAAATAAAAGAGCGGAAGGATTGTTTTCCGCAGGTTCAGCTGTCCTGGGAAGAGTAGGCGCCAGACGAAAACAATGCTGACAGTGGGTTGAAGCCACTGCAGCCATCGCCTGATCCTTGTGGTTGGTAGAGTGGCGGAGAAAATCTTTTGCCCGACGTCTATGAGATTGACTGGCCTAATGAAAATATCAGAAGGTCAGCGAGCTCGCGTACCGCATCTGTGTAGTTGCAGTCAGTTACCATAAAAGGGTTTCCTGTTGAACTTTCTCAGGCTTTCAACACTGAACGCATCCTAAGGTAGGCGGTTTATTCAACTGGCAACCTACTTATGATGAAAATGCACGTCTTATCATTATTCTTCGTGCTCCACGCATCCCTTGCGATCGCCGCCACTACGTTAGAGGATCTGACAGCCTGTCTTCAGACTGCTTCCGTTCCCATTGGCTCCTCCCTCACCCCTTACAATCTACGCATTCCCGTCAAGCCGATTCTTGTTGCGGTCCCTACAACAGTTGCGCAAGTATCTTTGGCGGTATCCTGCGGGGTCAAGTATGGAGTCCATGTCAATGCTAAGAGCGGCGGACATAGCTACACGTCTTCCGGCTTTGGCGGAGAGGATGGCCACCTGGTGATCAATATGGACCGCATGTATTCGGTAACCGTTGCAAGTGACGGTACTGCTAAAGTCCAAGCCGGAGCTAGGTTGGGCCACGTCGCGACTGAGCTTTACAATAATGGAAAGAGAGCTATCTCTCATGGCACATGTCCAGCGTAAGTCACCCTGATTTTTGATTCTCTGCATGGCTTCGTGTACAGGTAGACTTATACGTAAACTCAGTGTCGGTATTGGAGGTCACGCTCTACATGGAGGTCACGGCATGGTCTCTCGAAAGTATGGCTTCGCTATGGATTGGATAAAGGCAGCAACCGTTGTCCTCGCCAATGGCACTATCACACGCTGCTCCGCGACCGAAAGACCAAATTTGTTCTGGGGCATTCGTGGCGCCGGTTCATCGATGGTCATCGTTGTCGAGCTTGAACTGAACACATTTGTCGCGCCGGAGAAGATGACGTACTTCGACATCGACGTCGCATGGGACACGCAAAAGCTTCCCCAACAACTTCTGGATGCACAGGAATTTGCCAAAAGGATGCCAGCAGAGCTTACCTTATCTGTGAGCTTCAACAACGATGGGTGCTATCTCAACGGTGGTTTCGTCGGGGACGATGCGGCTTTCAAGACGGCAATCCAGCCCTTGTTGACGAAATTGGGAGTGAAGGTTTCCAGTTCCAAGACAGTCGGCTGGATCGAATTCATCAAGCACTATGCTGGTGTTACAGATATCGACATTACTACCGGCAGCTACAACGAGGTGAGATGATTTCTAGGACCCACGGGTTTCATCAGTAATTGACTTGACTAGCATGATAACTCGTACGCTTCGAGCCTCACAACTCCCGCATTATCAAAGCCAAACTTTCAATCTCTAGTCAACGCGATTGATAAATCAGGATTTTCTGTCAGCCGCTCCTGGTACATCCACATGAACCTTCACGGAGGTGACCTCTCCGCTATTTCGAAACCGATCGACGCAGCCTATGCTCACAGAGACAAGATGCTTCTCTTTCAGCTCAAGGACAGTGTCTCTCAAAGCCAGACTTATCCATCGACTGGTTTTGCACTCCTGCAGGGATTCCGGCAGAGCATTACAAGCGGACTTCAGAGTGGACAGTGGGGCATGTACGCAAACTACCCCGACTCTCAGATATCCGGGGACGAAGCGCCAAAGCTTTACTATGGGAGCAACCTTAGAAGGCTCGAATGGATCAAGGAAGATTATGATCCCACAAATGTGTTCAGAGACAACCAGTCTATAAAGCCTGCAGAGTAGTATTCTACATCATCAGGTGTAGCAATCAAGATCATCCGCATCCTCGGACAGTGCCACACCATTCATTTCCCTTTTTGGCCCCCAAATGTCGATGGCGTTTTGATTCCACTTGCAAATACAACATGCAGAACCAAGTCTTCTTGCCTCACCAGCTGCGCTCCGCATTGGTGGACCTGGTTGATGTGTTGCTTGACGATGAATAAGCGCCATTGCTGGCTGGACCCATTTTTGACCCAGGCAGTCACCTACTCGTGCTTGCCAAGATGTCCTTACTCAGGAACACCGCCTTAGTCAAATTGGACTTCGATCGTCTTCCGAGATAGGAAGGTATGCTCAATAGTTGAACTTGAGGTTCGTCCTTGCGTGGTCTTGGTTGGGAACTGGACCTAAATAAGGAGGCCCTTTCCCACACCATAATTGCCAGTCGAGCAACTCAGATAACAAAACGTTCCATGTTCTTAGAGCGTTATTCTCTACTATTACACCTATTATACCAAATCTAACTAAGGCACACCGTCAATCTCACCAACTCCCAGTTACGTCTTCACTCGCTCCCACGCGAACCCCAAAATGCACTTTTCTTCCACCCTCGGCGTTTTCACGGCAACGGCCGTACACCTCATCCACCCTGCATCTGCGAGTTACGAACCCGGAAAAGCTGTGCAAGTCAACTTCTACTCCAACTCAGGCTGTTCTGCCTACACTAGCGAAACGGCAGCTTGGTGGACCCGTCCGCCTCGAGCTGGCGAAAATGTCAATGGGGGATCTGCGCCTGACTGCTTCTCACTGAACACGCCAGGCAATAGTGGAAGCTTGAATGTCGCCAATGTGTGGAAGGGCAGTGGTGCCAAGAGTTCAGGGGGGTGCTCTCTCTATGATGGATATAACTGTGGTGGTGCGTCCACGTATGCCCGTTTCCAGGATGGCACTGGGACCTGTATTGCATCGAGAAGCTCCAACGGGTTGCTGTGGAAGAGCACTCGTTGCGGCGTAAACCCAAGCTAGGTGCGTAGTTCCACCATGTACCGAGTCGCTGCTGGGGCTTCGGTAAGGGTCTCGGAGGACAACATGTTCAAGTTACGCGGTGATCAGGAACGGTTATTAGAAAATAAACATCACTTTGCAAAACCGGTCCAAGTGTGAGCCATTTTAGGTCGATTGCTAAAGCTTCAAAAGCTTCTTCATCTCATCTCCCATGACTCCTGGGTGCGGAACTACACGAGCCCCAGCCTCTGCCAGTGCTTTTGCCTTGATGTCGGCCAGCACATCCCTTGGCGTTAGCAGAGCTCCTGCATGCCCCATTGTCTTGCCCGGTGGAGCTGTTCTTCCCGCAACCATGGCGATGATTGGCTTCGAATTAGATGATTTCCTCCGGTACTCCTTGATAGCTTCCGCTGCTCTGAGCTCAGCTTCGCCGCCAATTTCCCCAATGACAATGATTCCCTTCGTCTCTTCATGCTCGAAGAACAACCTCAGCCCGTCTAGCAACGTCGTTCCCGGCATCATGTCTCCCCCCATACCTACAACGATGCTCTGTCCCAAACCTGCCTTTGTTGTCGCACCTACAGCCTCGTAACTCAGAGTGCCGCTCTTCGAAACAATTCCAACTATGCCTTTGGAGTACTGCTTGTATGGCATAATACCGATACGGCACTGGTTTGGCGCAATGATTCCTGGGCAATTGGGGCCAACCAAGCGAGTCTTTGTCTGAGTTCGCAGTATTTCTTGAACTCGAGCCATGTCGTGGACGGGTACGTGCTCCGCGACGGATACGACAAGTGGTACTTCGGCCTCAATTGCCTCGGTGATAGCACTCGCCGCAAATTGCGCTGGAACAAACACGGCACTTGCATGAGGCTTCACTTTGTCCATAGCCTAAGGAGTAAGTTATCAAGAACGAACAGCCATTGGCGGGCATTGAGTAGCTTACCTCTTTAACTGTATCAAACACAGGCAATGATAGATGATCTTTTCCCCCCTTTCCAGGCGAGACGCCACCGACAACGTTCGTGCCATATTCTATTGTGTCTTTTGCATTTAAAGTGGCCTTAACCGTGTCAGCTCATTGTGTCAAAGGGGACGAGAGACATGAACCCAACTCACAGCTCTTCCCGTAAACCCTGAGCTAGGCATTAGCATTCGGCCAATTCTCTCTTAACGCTCAATGGGTCTCTACCTTGGTATATGACTCTCGTGTTCCCGTCTATTTTCAAGTTTGCAATCGTATCTTCCTCATATGACCTTTGATTCGCGCTCGACGTTGAAAACCTCATGCGGACATTGCCAAATTGCGGTGCTTGCCGGGGCGCCTTGGCCACCTTCAGCCATTGTCGGGTGAACATGGTTGCGGATAAAAGAGCGATAGCCGCAGCAGAAATGAATCACGCAAACACGAGACCATTCAGATCATTGAGAAAGCCGGATTTACTGGAGCTGATTGAAATCGCAGGTCTGTTGCTTCGTGAAGCTGAAGCTACATCGCCCCAGGGATCATTGAATCACTGTTGTCGGAACTAGGGTAGGACCTCGGCTACATACAGTGCCATATAACCGAGATGGCGCTTTTGGTGATGTCATGGCCTGGCCGTGTTATTTCCCCCGCCCCGACACCAGCGGGGCTCCTGTCGGCTACATGCACTTTTGCAACCGCCAGGCTGATTCATATCGAGTGGGAGTTCCAAATAGTTTGATGTCTCGGAACAATCCATAGTTTTCAGGCTGTTCTGTGAGGACGCAATCGCTCGGCGACTGTTTGCTTTCCCAACTTCAGGTGGTGCGATCGGTAATACGGTTGTGTCGGCAATGGCTCCAACCCCACGGAAGAGGGCTCGGCAAGCTTGTCTCGCCTGCAATGCCAGACGAGTCAAGTGCGATGTAACCGAGAGAGTCCCATGTCGGAATTGCGCCGCCGCAAACGCGCCGTGTGAGCTCCGAGTGTCACGGCGCGGCAAACACCCGCGACCCTCCCGGCGGCGTCCCGAGCCGGACACCAATGTCTCTTCTGCACACACGAGCCCATCGCCGGCTTTCCCAGATGACACGCTCGGCAACGGTTCAACGATTGATGACGCCGACGAGCATGTCGCTGCATCTCAAGTGCTTGCTGCATTATCGCAGAACCGCGACCAGGAAGATTCTTTCGAAGTCTTCGAAGCTGACAGTTCTATCACTGTGCGGGACCCCGAACCCCAAATAAACCTCCCGGATACAATTGATGGCAGGCAAGAAGAAGAAACATCGGTCTTCTTGGGAGAGTCGACGTCCATACGGTACGTCACTCATGGATATCCCACCCCAGCAGGGGCCGGTGTCTCGCCGCCTGAAAACTTGAGATTCCTCCACTCAGTGCCGAATGCTGTTAGGGCCGAGAACATGATTCCGCCTTGGGAGGTTGAGAGAAGACAAGCTCGCATACGGTCCCTTAAAGCTGAAGGCATCTTTTCGTTTCCACCAAAACCGGCTGTGGAGGCGTTGCTTCGAGCATACTTCAAGTGGTTCCATCCATGCTTTCCAATTGTGGATGAACAGGATGTATGGCAACATAGTGAACTGGAAACTCTATCTCCCCTTCTACTCCAGGCCATGCTCTTCATTGCGGTCATCCATTGCGAAGAGGATGACTTGCCGGCACTTGGTCTTGGGAGCCGCCACATGGCCAAATATGTGTTCTACAACAGGGCAAAAGACATCTACGACGTCGACTTTGAGCCAAAGAAGTTTACTGTCACTCAAGCTTTGTTTCTGCTGAGCTTCTGGCGAGCCGGTGCCCTGCTTGAGAAAGATGCGCGCCATTGGCTCGGTGCTGCCATCAGTCTCGCCCAGACGAAAGCCTTGCATCGATCGGCACCTACAAAGTCGCCGGATTCGAACACGGAAAAGCTTCGGCGGCGGCTGTGGTGGTCGATCTACATCAGGGAACGTCAATGTGCTGCTGCTCTAGGCCTCCCAAACCGAATAAGGGACGAAGACTGCGATATCGAACCCCTGGGCGAACCGGACTTCGAACATGCCTTCAGTCTATCATTACCAGCACCCAAGGCACAAGAATATACTGCATACGTTATGGGCATGGCTCAACTCTCTCGAGTTCTAGGAAAGATTGTGCACTGTGGATATCTCCCCAGCAAGTCGCTCAGCACGAATGACCGTTCTCAGATGAAGGACGATCTTGTTCGCTGGAGACAGAGTTTACCTATCGCAATGCGTGGTGGTACAGACGATATCGGAGATCCACCGGGGTTTCACTGCAATATGCTACATCTTGCATACAACAACCTCCTAATCCTTCTGTACAGGTCAGGTTGTATCGGTAGTGCAGAAGAAGGCCGAGAGGTTGACGGACAAGTCGCTCTCCAAGCTGCTGCCCGCAACTCAAGGATCATCGAGGATATGCTTCTTGAAGGGAACTTGCGACATGGTCAGATTCATGTTATTACGAACCTCTTCAATACCCTTTGCATACACACGGTCAACCTTCGAACGTCCCGGGGTACAGGTCGCGCTATTCTGGAGCACAGAGCTAAGTTGTGTCTCCTGGGCTTACAAGAACTGCAGAAGACATGGGAGGTCAGAAATTGGGTGCTACAGCTATTTTTCAAGTACCTAGATCGGTCTACGGCGGCGAGACTCCAGATGCAGGATGACTCAGGGGTGACTGGTGCTGCAGACAAGGGTCAAGTGGGCAGCCGCCAGGATGTCAGGACTTTAGACACAGGAGGCTCTCCAAGACATGAATCTGGTGGCGATATGGACGGACTTGATACTTTGCTCGCGTCGGACACGCCCTGGTCATGGTCAACAGAAGAGGCTAATCAGTTTCTCTTCTCGCAAATCGAGAACGATTTTGCATTTGGCGAGGGTGGAATACTTGAATGGACAAATACGGCAGCCACTATCTAGGCCATAATAATTATCAATACTGGTAAAAACTGTTTTGGAAGGTCGTTTTTCGCTTAGCCGTCCGTTGTGTAAGCTTCCATTTGTATAGACAATAATGGTACAGCATCTATGGATGCTGTAGATGGAATGAGCAGTGCAGCACCGTCTACGCCACACATGGTAAGCATCGTGCATGTTGAGTCAAAGGGGGGAAGACCCGGAAGGCGATTATAGTATATAAAGTTCAACATCTCAGCAATTGTTCTCTTCGAGGCATGCGGCGTTGCGGAATGCTACGTAGTAAAGTCTAACGATGTAAGTAACAATAGACACATGACCTCATATACAATGGATGTAACATTTACATTGTCTGCCCCCTCCTTTCACAAATGCCACCATTCCTAACATGTCTATATGTTCACGCCTCTACTGGGTATGGAGTAGCCGTAAGCGAAATGCTAAGAGCATTGGGAACTGTCCAAAGTTATGATACGATTGCAGTTGAGACGGGTCATTTGGTCCTGTAAAGCCAGGCTCTCGCATAGCGTCCATTACAAGTCCATTCCGGAAGAACGGGTCCAACAGAGACCAAAACGGCCGGTGATACAAGTTCTAGTCTGTTAGCCTTGGCGGCAAGGAGGGAGTTCGAGACACATACCAATGGATAGGGCTGTCCCCTCAACGCCTCGCTCTTGACCGGTGCGACGTCAAGATACTTAGACACTTTGATATGCCTATGGAATTCTTGTTTCCCGGTCTGCTCATTCTCTAGAACCTCCATCGCACGGTGACCAGCAGGCTTCGAGAAAGCCGGGTGTAAGTTGATGATTACAATCCTTGTGAAATTAGCGACAACGCCGACCAGGTTGTGCTCTGATCTTACCTGCCGCCGGGTGCCAGCAGCTTCGGGAGTGCTGCCGCGAGGGGTTCTAGATCCGGCAACTCCTTTAAAGTCATGCTGCATGTGATCAAGTCGAATCTTAAAAGCTATCGTTAGAACCAATTTATACAAATAGACGGATAGGAATCCCTCACCTAGGATGGCTTCGACTGAAGCTTTCGAGGCTGGCAGTGTCTAGTAGATTAACTACTTCAAACGTCATGTCCAGCTTTGCATCCTTTGCCCGAATTTCTGCCTTCTCAAGCATCAACCTCGAACCATCCACCGCCGTGACGCGAGCGCCTGAAGTTGCTAAGACTGCGGCAATTACTGCGCTACCAGTACCTAGGTCAAGTGCACGCTCTCCCTTTTGAGGGGCTCCAAGCTCCTGGATAGCCGGTAAGAGGCATTCTTGGTACATGTCGTTCCCACTGCCAAGTGACTGGTCCCAATAATTGGCAATGTTGTCCCAGGCTGCGAGGTTATTCTCACCAGCTTGTCCTCCCAAGGCCTTTTTGGCGACATTCTCCCCGTTGTCACCCATTGCAAAATGAGCTTTGGAGAATATGAGATCTGGGCTGGTCGTGGGAGGGTTGCTCACTGCTGTTGAAGCCATTAAGAGTTTCCAGCAGGCTAGAGAAAACTGCTCAAGGTGCGGGGTCGTAAGCCAGGGTGCCTGCCAGGCAGCAGCTAAGGCAACTAACTAGCCATGCAGTATATGTTTGCCTTATCCCTCGGCCAAAATCCGGCGTGATTTTCCTTTCTTTCATTGGCTGCAGACCATGCAATCACGGTGGTCTCTTTTACGAATGGAGATTAAATGGAAACATCACTGTGCCTAGCGAAGGTCAGGGACAGTCAATGAGTTGGGCGTCGCATCATTTTGATTATGGGCCATCCGCGTCAAGACAAAAGCATTCATTTTCTTACTCATATGCGATCCAAAGCCTCTGTAAACTATCCCAGTTCTACTGTTTTCCATCTCATCTAGAGTACATGTACATGTGAACAGCGTTTGGAACTGACTCGTTGGACCATAACATGACAGGAAACCAACTACAATGACTTAGACTGTTCATGCACCAGTTGTGATATCCAGAAGCTTCGCCTGCCTCTCCAGGAACTCTAGTTGGGGACGATCGCTCTCCACAGTGACCTTCGCTGAGGCCACACTTAGCGCTTTCGTAAGTTTCCCATCTCGAAGTACATTCCTCTCTTGACGTGCGTCATACTCGAATTCATACCATCCATGGGCATGATACGATCTTTCTAGAGCTCGTATAGTGATTACTTCAACACAGCACCATGCCCGTTCGTAGTAGGTACCTTCGGTAATACTGATCATGGCGTTACATTGTGCAACGCACATTGGTAGGGCTGCGACACCGCGCGCCTGTATGTCTCGGTTGTCCTGGTCGATACAGGCCCAGTCCTGTAAATATTTGATGAGGCTCGGAATGAAGGCATATTATTTGGAGCGGGTACTTACAAGCCATACGCAAACGGTCTCGGGACTCACATTGGGATGCTCCAGAAGAAAACTTTCCAAAGCGTTGATCATTTGATGATACTTCGTATTTTCCATGTCGTCGGGGGAGAATTCCCCAGTACGCTTCTTCTTGGACCATGTGTAAGACATGAAAATCACGTAAAGGTCTTCATCATCGTCGTCGCCAAAGCGGCGTGTCAGGTTCTCGCTAGACTTGGGCAGCTTACCGTGTCTAGCAAAGTCGGCAAACCGTACGTATTTGAATGCATCAAACTGGCGTGCTTTCTCTTCGTCCGCAGCAAGGGCTTTCGCATACGCCTGTCGCAGGCGTTTGATGCTAGATCGTTTGTCTCCTTCTAGCAGCACCGGTCGCAATATCTCCTGAAAAAGCTCCCGATAGCCCTTTCGAAGCGAAGATTCCAGCCGATGCTGCTCGACCTTGTCTTGGTTGAGCTGTCGCCGAAGACCTTCGATGAGAATATTCTGTGTCAGGTCATCACCGCTGTAGACTGCAAAGTCCAGTGCTGAGTAGCCAGATTTGTCTCGTAAAGTCAAGTCCGCTCCAGCATCGATCATTTCCTGAATGTAGCCCCGGTACTCTTCGCAAGGCTCTTTCGAGAGAGCTGCGACTGGCGTATTCCCGTCTGAAGGATTGAACTCAGCAAGCGCCTTTTCTTTCTGTTCATTCTTGAGCAGCGCTCGGCCGTAAAATAGCCTGGAGAATGCAATCTTGCTTGGGTCGCCTGACTGGATGGACAGCTCTTGGCAATCCCAAGCTGCGCTGATCGCTTTGTCGAGATCCCCTTGCACAGTGTAACACAGCGATAATCGGGCAAATGCGATAGCCTCATGCGCTGTAGCGGTCTGAGCCTTGGCGGCCTTTCGACGGGAATCTTCTTGAGTGTCCGTTGGAATTCGCAGCCGCCGGCATATATCAACCCGTTCTTCCAACTGCTTTATGGCCACAGTCAAGTACTGATTGTCATTATTGGTCAGGAAAAGTTGGTAGTTGACCATGCCAAGATTACCGATTGCACGCTCTGTTTCAAGCTCGAGCCCCATGAGTTTGGCAGATTCATACTGTTCTTCGCAAGTCCGTTTGGCGTCTTTCAGTTTGTCTAAATGACGATACACGACCGCAAGCTCTCCAAGTGCTTTGAGACGGCTCTCGTTGGGCGGCATGTTCCTGACTGCGTCTTCCAGGCACTCACTGGCTCTTGCAAATCGCCCAAGCATTCTGTAAACATACCCGAGTTCGGCAAGCACCACGTATCGATAATGTGTGGCATGTGGGAGGTCGGTCTTGCCATCACACATGGCCAAAGCACTGTGATGGGCGCGCAGCGCTTCCTCCAGTTCGTTTCTACGGGTGTGGGCTAGACCATGCTGGTGGAACTGCTCCCAATTGCGAAAAGTTTCAATCGCTGCTGTAATTGTGGCGGGTGTGGTGGTTTCAATATCGCTCTCCTGAAAATAGCCACCCTTCGCGGGGACCAGTATGGAAGGGACACGCCGTGAACCCTGTGCATAGTTGGAAAACGAGAATGCCACGTGCATCTCATCCCGGTCAACTTCCAACCGACAAAAGGCTCCGGCGTATCTGCTATAGGTCATGTGGCGCGAGCGCATTTCTGACTGTATCTCGTTCGCCTGAACTAGTTCCCCGGTGTTGACGTATCTGGCAGGATTTTCGGTGCTCTTGCTGTTGGTATGGCTTGAAGACAGCTCATACCTGGCATGTGTGGCTGTCGTTTGTTGTGCCTTCTGGACTTGATATCTGTAGTCTCTCGCCTGTCCCAGTAGGACCCAGCTCTGATCAAGCTGTTGGTGCGAAGAGATGACGGGTGTCCCCTCGTTTCCTCGTTTGACCCCAGGGAACCATACTTCAAGCTGAACTGATTCCTGAACATTGCCGTCTTTGGCCATGCACCAAAGAGTGATTGAAATAAATCCCTCGACGTTTCGATCGACTTTGCGGATGATTGATGTCTCTGATAATACTCCTTGTACAAGTGACCATATTGACTCGATGTCGTCCGGAGGGAGTCGAGTAGCCTGGCGTCCCGATTCACGTAGAAATGCGACGGCCAAAGCAAGATTGACATATTGCCGCAGAAGGCTTTGTGCGATGTGCTGCGTCAAACGAATCCATTCGTGAAGGGTCAAGGGGTGGTCATCATTCCCGGCATTTGGTGTCGAATTCTGGGCTTTGCTGCTGTGGCGGAGCGCAGTTGCACCAATGATAGATTCGCGGATTGGCTGGATCTCAGAGACGAGCTTCTCATCGCATAAGCCCTGTAAAGTGCTTAAAATCGATGACCAAGAAACACGTGTTTGCTGAACTTGCTCCATGGCTCATTTTTGGCTTGATAAGATGCAAACCATCGACCGTCGTTGGCCTCAAGGAGATCTGGGTCACCTTCCGATTTTAAGCGGCCATAATAAGTCGTCGCCGCAGTGGAGTATCGGACAAGAGCCAATTCTTTTAGCCATAATAAGGAGAGCCTGCGTCAAACATCTGCCAGGCTACGGCGGCTGCCTTAATTACCCCGCTTCTGGAATCGCTGCCTGGCTTCAGTTGTTATCACAGCAACTTTTGTCACGATACCAGTTGAGCAACCACGAAGCTGTTCCAGATCTTGTTTGCCCCAGTTGGATCCAACGACTGCTATTGGTGTAGCCTCGGGCAAATTCTTCAAATCAAGCATTTATAATCAGGGCAGAGCTATGCATGCAGCATGCCATCCCTCTAACTGGCTTTCTCGACCCGACTCCCAATGGGCAGTTATGTCACTCTTGATCGAATAGTGGTATGGAATGGGATACGGAGCCCCGGGTTTCCCGCATAAGATGACCATCAATAAGCGAGCGATTAAGTAGCTACCGAGAGAAATAATAGGCAAAGATCAAGGTTCATTCGATAACAGATGTGTGAACAGATCAAGGCTGGCGTAGCATATGAAGTAGAAGTAGCTGCTTTCCGTGGCATGTGTTATGCTCATCGTCTTCTTCCTTCGCGGCAGCGCGAAGAACATTTCCGAGCTGACTGATGCGGACTTTCAGCAAGCTGACCTTGGTGATCGCCAGACCGAGATCATTGATCCAAAACCTTCCGTCGTTCCAGTATTTGATGATGTCGATGCAGGATGTAATCAGGCTGGCGAGGGCAACGCCGCTCAAAGCCAGACCGGCAACTTCGGCCATAGGTGCGAATTGGTGATTTCAATTTCAGCGATAATGCATCAATGTCGGTCGAAAAACTGGCGAGATAGGGGCTGGGCTGTCTTTTGAAACTTTCTCGTCATCGATTGTCGTTGACCGGCTGCGCAGTGGGAAATATTACCGTCAATGTGTGAAGCCTAATACAAAGTAGTCGAAGACAACATTCAGAGCGTTAAAGACATTCTTATGGGCATTATCATTGTCTTTACCGTCTCTCTTTTCTTCTGCAGGCCAACGGACTTTGGGGCTGTGTGTAAATTGTTTCTGAGGCAATTTCCAATGTATCTATTGGCTACTTGAGCACAGCCTGGCTTATGCCAGAAACCCTGTGTTGCAGGCTTTCCACGGCTATTCATGCTGCTTACGGGAATGAGAGTGATGACACGTCCTGCTTGCTCAGCCTGATTCCGCAACTCGCAAAGATTGCCGCAGATACTTCTCAGACAGGGGTGTGCTGGCTGCCTTTTGGCTGTCTTCCTGTGGCCAACACAACCATGCGAACCAGCTACCCCGCAGTGACTGAGGATTTCCTTGTCCCCAGGTCCATCCTCGACAGCAGCTCCTCACCACTTGCATTTGTTTCGTACGCCATGGATGCTCGTAATACTCCATCTGTTTGACCGGATATGTCACGACAACCAGAAGATAATCACTTGAAAAGCAGCGGCCTGATCTTTCTTAATGTTCACTTCAACCAATTAAAGCAAGGACCGAACGGAGTTGCTGCCTTGGACAATCAGACTGAAGGATCCGCAGCCACTTTGGGCAGCCGTTTCCGCTTATGTGAGTAGTCATTTCCGTTTGTGATATTCCGGTCCAAATTCAACAAGGAATTCCTCTATCTTAAGTAAAATACTCACGCGTCTATACAGCGTCTGGACTCGAGGTTGGGACACCTGTGGGGCAACCTTCTGAAGCCGATACCGACATTATTGTGCCACCGCGCCTTCACGAACGAAGAGATTCCCTGCCCGACTTCAGGTCACTGCTAGCTGGCAAAGATCCTTTCAGAGAAGACACTTTTGGAACCAAGCCCGATAGCCCGGTCGCCGATAGCCCGGCCGATGAGGACAGCGACTGCCTAAATATGGCACCTACCCAAACGGACGACGTCTGGCAAGACAGCCAAGGAACCATCCGATTTCTAAGTGAACGAGTCCTCAAATACAATCCCATCTCCGATCCGGGGCTTTTTTTCCCGGGGAGGGTTATACAAGTATCTGGACAAGATGCGGACCAGTCCGTAAGTGGCTGTGCTATGGTCGTGCTTGCTGTTTCCAAGCATGGGTTTCCCCAGTGTCTGATGCTTTGCCAACATCACGGACAAGAAGGCGACGAAGAGGAAAAGAGCTTCTGAGAAGCTTACTCGGCTGTCTACCCCAACACGCTGAAGCACGTGGACCGAAACAAAGCCTATGAAGATGAGAAGCCCAATCGGCCAATTACAATCCAAATAAACAATTCTTTAGTACAGGTAGTTGAGCTAGCTGAAGATTGCTTCATTAATTATCAACATACGTGGAGCTTGAGAAAGGACAAGGTCAAAATAGCCCCAATCGGTAAAGTTTCAGGGAACGACCTAATGTTATTGAGGAATAATTACCGAGAAACTCAGAAACGGATGTATTCGGAGAAATGAACACAGGCGATCCTTCTAGCTTTAGTGCTTATCTGCGCTTCACATTACTGTATACGTAGTTTTACTCTTTCATGACTTGGTGGATTTAATTATGATATTGCTGAGTTTATCTACAAGTACGCAACCAAGTTACGTCCACATTTCTTTTCAGCCAGTTGTGTCGACTTATAGCAGGTTCCAGGTTGCGTGAGGTTGCGTTCTTAAGACGATGGAACTAAAGGCTATGTTTATTACAAGGATTAGGAAGCGGCCTTAGGCCTCAAGGAGACATTCATTGACGCCATGAGGTGTGCTCTCAGGAACTGACATCAAATCACAATTTTACAGAGCCGAAGAACGCAAAAGTTTGACTAGTTTTATTGTTGATTCACCTTCGGCCTTAGCACATGTTTCTACCTCAGAAGGTCTATTTAGGCGGGTCTTTCTCCTATATACTCGTCTCCTGTAAGCTCTTAGACTATGCTCGACGTGGATGAGACCGTCGATCTAGCTGATCTCCGTCTTTTACTAAGATTACTGGCCCTAGTCCAACTCACATCAAGCTAAACAGCAAGCCTTTCCAAGATCCTAAGCTTCTTCGCTCTCTAGCAAAGAATCATAAAGTTCTACAAACGCAGCCGCTGGCAGAAAATGAGAACATTACCTAGCCATATCATACTCTTTAGCTCCTCTAAGAATGTTATCAGCGAGGTCAGCAATATTAAGCGAGAGATATTGCGATAACTTTCGATTGGGCGCCATCAATGGGCCTGTTTAAGAATGCGAAAGCTCCCCTTTCTGCGTGTTGAGAAGGACTCATCGCGGACGATCCTGCGTTCACGTTGACTACCTGGTATCTATGATAAGGAACGGTTGCGTCGTGTCTGATTCAAAGACGGAACTATGATATTGCTACAGGCTTGCTGATGCTAATGGATGTAGCTGCGATTGAAATTGTTCTCTACTGCTCTGGTGCCGAGATGGGATCGAGGGGCTTCCGTCCCCAAACACACCTCTGACGGTAGTACCCATGCAGCTTGCCAGAGCGGATCTCGCGGCGGAGCTGAGCGGCGTAGATTTGAATCTCCTCCCTGCTCCAAGTTGACATGACGTTGGCCATGAAGAGGACATAGCCCTCGATATCGGACAGAAGAGTCAATTGTGCCCATTCGCCAATTTCTCTCTTCACCGGGTCCTTAGGCCAGTTGCCAATAGGTGCCTTCATTGGTCTCTCGTTAGTACCGTCCTTTGATCAAGAGAGTGACATATCGTACCTTGTTGTTCCACTCCGTAATGTTCTCGAAGCCAGCTCCCTCCATGGAGGTCTTTTGGAGATTCTCATCGAGAACGCGGAAGGTCCGGCCCATCTTCCGGCCGCCCTCCTCGAAGAACTTGCCCCACTGACCCAGCGCACTGGTCTCCGGGACGGTGTCGTCGTCACTCATGATGGCGGGAGAGACTTCGAAACTCTCGAGGTAGCCACCTGGCTTGAGAGCCGCGTAGGCCTGCTTGAACAGCTCTGGCCAATCCGCGATACTTCCGACGAGGAAGCGGATGTGGACGTAGTCGAAGGTTCCAGGAGCAAAGGTCCACTCGCGGGTGCAATCCTCGATCTCGCTATTTTAGAGTTAGTGGGTATGCGATAAGACACAAGGCTCTCGCACTTACAACTTGCAGTTAGGAGGGACCCATGTTGGCTGAATGGGCGAGATGTCGGTTCCGATAACCTCGCATTCCGGGTTCTCATCTGCGAAGTCACTGAGCAATGTTAGAGATTAACTGGCATCGCAGACTATCGAATCCTTACATGGCCCAGATGCCTGCGTTCAAACAACGAATCAGCTTTGGTCACATGTAAATCGTACCCTTGCACGCTCACCAGTTCCAGTTCCAACATCCAGGGCTTTGGTCAGCTTGCTCTTGTCTATCGGTGCCAAGTGAAGTTTGTCGCCGCAAGAAAGAGTCAAAAGATGGTGACTGCCGCTTGTCAGTCTCCTGTAAGATCCAGTCCCGCTCCTTCATCTTACTTGATGTCCCAGCACTCATTCTGCTGCTCGTCGTTGCTCCCCCTACAACCAGTGTTAGTGGCATGATAACCCGCTCGACCTGATTCGGGGCACCTAACCAGTACTGGGCATTTCCGACCTCGCCGTGAAACGTGCGTCCGTGAATCTTTCGGTACTCGAGAATAGTAGAGGTGATCGACGCAGTAGAACTGGCGTTGTCGTCGCCTAGCGCCGAGTCGTTGTCGCCGTCATTAGCAGCCTCCTAACACGCCGTCAATCATCTCCGGTACCAAGTTTGGGAACGCGGTCGGACCGCCGTGTCGACTGACTCGTGCCGCCTGCACCCAATGCTCAGCGGGCAAGATACCAGCGGCCGCCGCCGCGTCCTGGTCCTGCTGAGCGGCCGCGGTCGCTTGATCCTCGTCCTGTTCGGGGCACATTCTCAATGATGCTCCGTCTTCGTTTCGTCGCGATGCAATGCTTCGTCGTCTGCCGTTCCCTACCAGGCGGAGAAAAGGAGAAAATAAGGCTTCGACGGGACGTAAGAGTGCGGAACGTGTTCCCACGGGTCACGAGAATGATCCCCGGTCCCTGTCCATCCTATATCAGGGAACCACCATAGGACATCCCCACAGCGGATAACGCGCGGTCGTGCGCATCCTCGCCTTCTGAACGAGCCCCTCGGTCGTCTTGCTCACCGCATCCACCATCCTGGACTGGGAATCCAGCCAGCCGCCTTTCGGCGGTGCGTGGTGGCCTATCTGCCGGTGGTGTCAGCTTGGGGTTTTGCAGGTTTTCGACGTGTCATGGAGCGCCAAGTCCGCTGACCAAAACATTTGAATACTACCATGTTCGGCGCTCATCACCACTTCAGGGGCACAGGGGACGGAGATCGACGAGAGTTTGGCCAGCCGAGTGGACATCACGGCATTCTTCAGCGGGACTCTGGCCACGCACAAACAGGCATGTTGAGGGGCATGCGAATGTTCTCCACGGCATGCAGCTTTGGCAATGAGGATACCGCCAACCAGACGTGTTCTTTTGGGATTCTCTGATGGACCGATGGGATTCTGGACTCAATTATGCCCGCTCAAGAAAAACACATGGAAGGAATACACGTGGGAATTTTCCCGCCTTTCCTCAGTACGTTGCATTCAGACGCATCTCGATGTACTCCCGGCTGTTGATCGGGTCATACTTCTTGGGTCGCTCGGGCCCGAAACACCCAGGAACACAGTCAACAGTCTTTTCTGAGTCGGCGCCGATGAAATACGGGATGGAATAACGCGCCCGTGTGACTCGACTGCCGCTCACATCCGTTTCCAGCGGCGGCGCCCGGACACGATGCATCGTCGACCTGAGCGTGTCATTGCTCCACCGCTGCATGAAGTCACCAATGTTGACGACGATCGTCCCAGGAATATACGGCACCGGGACGAAACGTCCCGCTTCGTTGGGATCTTCTACCTCCAGCCCTCCAACCTCGTCCTGGAAGAGCAGTGTCATGGACCCAAAATCAGTATGCCCGCCCAACCGCTCGACCTTTCCCGCGCGAAGCAGCTTTTCCTCGGCCGGTGGATAATGGAGGAGCCTAATCTGGTTGTCCTTGTTCACGTGGTACCCCTGGAAGAAGGCCTCGTCTAATCCCATTCCCAGTGCCATTCCCCGGAGCAGGTGGAGTTCTAGCTGGTAGCAGTCCTCGTAGAAGCTGTTGAAGAACGCCCGAAAGCCGGGTAGCGACTCGTCGGGAATCCAAATGTTTGGGAGATGATCATCGTCTTCGCGGCCAATCTCGTATGATTCCTTGAAGTCGGGGATCTTGCGACGCTCGCTGATTTCATCGGCGTCAAACACCATTTGCGTGACCTTTTCTCGGCCTATGCCCGAGTACCCCCGGTGCCACCATCCCTCTGGGGGATGCGGTGCTTTTTCCTTCTCTGCCTGGGGCAGCGAGAAGAACTTGGCGCTCTGGATGAAATTGTGAGTTGTGATATCATGCACAGACATGAGTCGGGAGAGACAAACCCATTGGAACGCGGCGTCCACGGTCTCCTGCGGCAGCCCATGATTTTTGACATACGCGAAGCCGAAAGTCTTGAATGCGTCGACTAGCGCTTTGCCCGCCTGCTGCGCTTTTTGTGGTTGCGCGCTTCTGAGACCGTCCAGATTGACGAGGGGGATGCTCGGGTGCTCCGCTTGCGAATCGCACGCGGCGCCGTTGGATTGATGCGACCCGCTCATGTTTCTGGCATTCGCGATATTACAACGTCGGATTACAATACAAGTATGCCAAGTTTGGGATGAAAGAGAGTTGTACTTGTTGAGGTTTGGATTAGGTTCTTTTAAACCCTCCACATCCCCGCCTTATCGCCTCCTGCAGGATGACGGGATGACGTCGATCGCCGCGAGGTTATTCACATGCAAATCATCATGCGATACAGCAACCACAAACTAAGAATAAAGCGGTAGATCTGCGGAGAATGAACTTTTTTGATGCGTCGGTGGTCTTATGTTCAACGATTGATAAGCAATTATCTTGTCAACATACTGACTTCAGACTTGTTTGATGATCATTAAAATTCAGACAATGTCACAAGAATTGACACATCAAGGCTCCCTTGTCGTAAGGACGACCAGGTCCAGGGCGCATGCGCAGAACCACCGACTCAAAATCCGATAAACTGGGAAGGGTTTTTTTTTTTCTGCGGTGGAACGAATCGTGTTGAATTATTCGGGATCAACCCTTGTCAACTCGCTGTTCTGAGAGATCCATCTTTCGGAGTCGGGCGCCGTGTCCGATGCCAACGGATCATGTCAGATTCAAGTGCTTATTTCGGAACCAACAACCTTTACCCAATCTTACCAGCGTCTTTGAATAAGGAGATACCATCAGTTTCACCTCAGCAGTGCACATATTCAACGTGCCGTAACATCCGAATCGAACTGGGCAAGCGGCAATCCCGTATCCCTCGTCATATTTTCTTTGACATTCCCGTTCAAGCCGTTCGCTGTTCGACGCTACAGCGGTTGAGATGGATTATTCGATAAAGGAAGTACATCTTATTCCGCCCCGCAGATTTGATTGTGATTAAAAGCCTCACACAGACTCTTGTAATTAGCGAATGCGCTACACGTTTCAAAGGTAGGAGCTCCTGGAGCTTTTTCAACCAACGCCAGAACTCCGAGGCCATTGGACAGGTGCCCTTTAACTGCCGGTTGGAGCGAATTTCAACTGTTGCACTACTAAGATAAGACAGGAAGTAGGCATATTTCCAGGGCTCGTCGGAACAAGGTAGAGCCTGCATTCCTTCTAATCTGCTGACCCCGTTCCCACACGCGGATGGAAGGTGTTCAAGATAATCGGTTTTTACAACTCCATGTCATCAGAGAACAATAAAGGCCTTTACGTTTGATGTCTAGTCATCCTCCTTTGCCCCAACTCTTTTAGATTTGCGCAGCGTCGGTGAAACGGGTGGCTACGGGCTACTGGGTGTCTGAAAACCATGATGATACTGCGAAGTACTGCTGCAGACATTGAATTGAGTTATTTCTCATTTGATGTTCAAGGATTTCCGCTATAGTCGATTCTCACAGAGCATATACGTACGTTTGCTTCAGTCCCAAGGCCATGGCAAGTCGTGTTATCATCGTTGGGACAGCTCCAGGGCGGCAACAACAAACTCTGGTGAGCGGGCTGTGAGGAAATAGCCACTGGTACACAGTGTCCATTCAAATTAGTTTTCGAGATGGGGGGAAAGTTTGAAAATGTGACCTTTTGCCGAAGGCTTCTTTGGAGTTGCACGTGGAAACCAAACTATTGGGCTGTGGCTTGGTCTGATGCCTTAACGAACACGGGCGATATTACCGGCTTCGCCTGCTTGCGACGCCGCATGTACCGTTCACCCAATGACAGTCGACGAATGCGCGTCGTGCACCTCAACCGTCAAAACAATTTACTGCCTTCCTCCTGGGATACCCATCTTGATATCCAATAGTCAGGACTCAAATTATACCTTCGCGCAGATTCGTAGTACATCAAATAAAAAGCCTCCTATGCGGGCGCTATACATAGCCCTAAACTTTCTATACGCCGCATACCCTAAATGGGGGGGATTGTCGTATCAGAATACATTATCGTGGCCTTCTGTGGCTTTCTTAAATGCTATCCAGGCCGATTTTCAAGTCTTGATATTGAAAATCGGGATGCCTACCACAGCCCTTGCGACATACTTAAGATGCGGCTGCTGGTGCCAAGTCGTGCGCCCATGCCTCATCAAGCAAAACTTCCAGATTCCTACAAATTCATGATGCGTTTCATACTGCCCGCTGCGTGGTGCCTTGTGCTGCAGGGCGTTTCATCTACGGGTTTATATTCTCGACTCAGTAACACCGACATGGTAATCGAGAATGGGAAAGACTTGCATTTGAGCTATGAGATCGGCGTCGAAGGATTCAAGGAGTCGATGCACGAGGACATGGCCATCGCTGCTTTCATCGGATCCAAGCACCCTTTCCCCGAGGGAACTGAGTACAACAATATCAACGCGGACCAATGGGAATACATGCGCGGGCTCATCTGGAGCGACGACCCAACTTGCCTTTTGTTCGTCGACTCGAAGGAAAGGAACAACCAGATAAGCGCCGCCACGGACTTTCTTGAGGAGTTCTTGACCGGCGACGAATCTAGACTCACGAAGCGGAGTCACTTTGGTGACCTTCAGTTCCTTCACGCCATGGGCTCGCAGGACAATGAAGACCCCAACGTCACCAAGAAGAACATGATTGACTGGCTGGAGATCATGTACAAACTTGCCATTGGCCAGGATGTGGCGGCAGCCGACAGGCTTGACAAGAGGTTTCCCGATCAATTTAATTCCAGCTCGATTCCTTCGGATGACGTCAGCATCAAGCAACTGTTTCTGGGCACAACTCCATCATATCAACATGCCGATATTCCCAAGCGAGCCCTCGGAAATTGCCTTCACATGATCCAGGACTCATATGCACTTGGACACACGCTGAGAAGGCTCAAGAACCCAGATGATTTGGACGCAGATGATGAAGAAGGTATGGTTGTCAGCATCAATGCGATGGCTATCCAGATTCTTTTGACGGTAGCTACTTCCATCAGACCCATAACTAACGACTCATCACAGGGTATCGCCGATTCAAGCCCGGAAAGTACGCAAAGCTCGGGCCGGTAATCACATTCCACACGTATGCAAACCAGTCGGACCGTCATTCTCACTACGACGGATCAAAGCTGAAGCGGGTGCCGAGTGACCTCGATACTTTCAACAACGTCATCGGTGCTCGAGACGGGATCGATAAGTCCAGGAAGCTCATCAACTTCTTCGCCCAGAAGACTAAGTGGGAAGATGGCGTTCGCGCCTTTTTAGACCAGGAAGTTTTCGCGCTTGATTCGAACGTGACTGTCAGC